CAGAAGAAGTTCCTGGATCCTGGCTTCAGATCGGCTCACCCAGCCATTGCAGTCACTTGGGGAGTGAATCATCAGATGAAAGATCTTCCTCTCTCTCTCTCTCTCCCCTATTCTCTGTGAATCTGACTTTGCAATAAAAATAAACAATCTTTAAAATAAAAGAAAATACATGTTTGTAATAAGTACTAATAATATCAGGGCTGAGGTAATGGCTCAACTGGCTAATCCTCCGCCTGAAGCACTGGTGTCCCATATGGGGATCGTTTCAAGTCCTGACTGCTCCACTTCCTATCCAGCTCTCTGCTTGGGGTCTGGGAAAGCAATTGAGACTGGGCCAAGTCCCTTGGACCCTGCACCTGTGTGGAAGAGACCAGCAAGAAGCTTCTGGGTCCTGGTTTTGGATAGGCTCAGCTCCAACTGTTGTGGCCATTTGGGGAATGAAGCAGTAGATGGGAGGTCCATTATCTCACCTTCACTCTATCTTTCCAATAAAAGTAACATTTAAAAAACATTTAACAGATAAGGACTAGTAGAAAAGGCCTGAGGCTGGAGTCTGGCCTCACAGCTCTGCGGCCTGGGTTGTGCCGTGAAGTGCCTGATTACGCTTCCCTCACCTGCTGCGTGGCCCCTGGGACGTTTCCCTCCTAGCAGAGTCTCAGTATTGCACCTGCGGTTAAGAAGAATTAGTAGATGTTTTTAGAGAAGCCTCTATTACGTCAGGTAAATGGAACAGTCGAAAGCATGTTAGATTTCTTTCCTGTCGTCATTATGAGGATCTGTGCCACGTATACTCAAAAGAGTCTTAACACTAAGAAAAGATGCATTTCCATGATCCATAACGTGCTGCCTTCCGCTTCTCCATAAGCCAGAACAGAGAGTAGAATAAGATCGGGCAACTGCGGTGACTTGCAGAATCACAATCATGTATTTCTATCTGACTCTGAAACTGACCAAGATGGAACTGCTTGAAAATGCTTATTTTGCTATTATCAGTATTATCGCTACTATACAAACACAGGACAGCAGTCTTACCTTCTCATGGAAGGCAGGGAGTTGGTATCTTGTGCTGGAAACTCAGTAGATGACACGTAGTCAAATCACACTTGAGGAAGTGTTGCATGGCCATAGAACTGAGTTCCTGCCTCCATGGGAACAAGAAGATCATATGATTTCCCTGATGTGTTGTTGCACATTTAAACTCCCCTTTGCCAGTCTTGTGAATTCTCCATCCCCCTTTGGTGCCCACCTTCAAAAACACAGTTCTTACAAAGAAAAACATACAGTCTGCAAAAGACAGCCAGGACAGCAAATCTTACTGTGTTTCTGTAATGCTGGAGGAGAGGAGATTGGAGGGGGAGGAGATAACAGCTGCTTCTGCTGGCATTTCTGGAGAAAGTGTTACTCACACACGGAGGACTCCCAAGGACAGAAACAGGGTGAGGATCAAGGTTAAAGAGAGGGGAGTTCAAGGCGGCAAGCTCAAACAGCTGAACAGCCTGATCCCACAAAGCACTATCAGGGGAGTGGGGGAGTCCCAAACTCCCGATCATGTATGAGGACAGCAACAGTTAAAGCCCTGAACTTGTGAAACTGGGATGATTGATCCCAATGAATCAACTCCCAGATGGGAGATAGGAGCCGGAGAGACTCCTTTGTTAATTTTTAAGTAGTTGTAAAGCGTTGGTTGTGTTGATTTTTAAACTTTGCTGCAGACTGTAACTATGGTTGGGAGCTTTGAAAAATCTGTATGCAGAGGCCACATCGACTGCAGTTCTGATGTGAGTGGTGTGGGGCACAGTAAAACATTAGGAGTGGGGCCAGGATGGATTGCGGCACCCATTGGTTCCAGTGGAAGTCGAGGCTGAGGTTGGAGCCAACCCAGTGACTGCAACCACCAGCTGGTCGGGGAGATGGACTGTGCCAGGTCCTGTGCTTGCTAGTGCACATAGGAATGTGGTATGGGAACATCTCAGAGTCTCTTTGGGGGTCCCCTCAACCAAAATAGCAGACTCAGAACCTTGACCAAGAAAAGACAGAAGATGGAACAGGTGAGTCAACCACCACAGCTGTATGTTGGCGGCGAAATACTGGACAGAAGGAGACTCCATGATGGACTATGTCAATCAGTGGATTATGCAACAGCCTCATCATGTCTGGAGTGGCGAGATTGGCAGCAATGCATAACTGGTGAACTACTGGGACCACTTGAGCAGGATCTAAGGGCGTGCCCTGCATCCGGGACCTGGGGTGGGTGGGAGACTGGGTGGGGCTGCTCCTCAATGTTCCCTTTAGCCCTTGTAACTTTTTACCCTTATCAGCAATGTAAAGATTGTCAAAATAAAAAAGTTAAAAAAAAATTAGGAGTTTTTGAAACTCCTCAAGTAATTCGGTTGTGTAATAATTTTAAGAATCACTGGCCTGGCCATTGAGTCGTAACTCTACAGGGCACTTTGAAACCTGAGTGGATGAAAGATGTCATGACAGCAACTTCTTTAACACCTTTTTTGTTCCGTAATTATTTTAAGAGAACTTCATATAGTTCATGGGAAAATGAAATTAAAAATAAGTTTATGTGGCCTGTGTCGTGCTGCAGCATTGGCCTTCCAAATATGTGCTGGTTTGAGTCCTGGATGCTCTGCTTCCAATTCAGCTTCTTGCGAAATTGGCCTGGGAAAAGAGAAGACAGCTCTAGTATGTGTGTGCAGTCACCCAAGTCGGAAATCCAGATGGCGTTTCAGGCTCCGGGCTCTGCCTGGCCCAACCCTCCGTCACTGTGCTCCTTTTAGGATTGAACCAGAGGATTAAGGGTTCCTTCCATGTCTCTCAGTTTCTGTAACAGAGCCTTTCGAATAAATAAATCTTAAAAAAAAAAAAAAACAGTTTATTTTGTTGCAAAAGGCTTTTGAAATCCTTGCAAATGTTTTTTTGTTAATGTATACATTTCACAGACTTTTAAAATATTTTATTTTTATTGGAAAGGTGGATATACAGAGAGGAAAGACAGAGAGGAAGATCCTCCCTCTGATGATTCACTCCCCAAGTGAGCGCAACAGCCAATGCTATGCCAATCCGAAGCCAGGAGCCTCTTCCGGGTCTCCCACGCGGGTGCAGGGTCCCAAAGCTTCAGGGAGCTGGATGGGAAGCAGGGCTGCCGGGACTAGAACCGGCGCCCATATGGGATCCCAGGCATGCAAGGCAAGGACCTTAAGCACTGCGCCATCGCGCCAGGCCCCATTTCATAGACTTTTGAAGACCTTCAGTACACATAGATTTCAAATTCCAGGGGATCTGGGAAGGCAAAATAAACATTTTTATTCCACTTTTCCATGAAATTTGGAAGGCCCCTTAAATACTAGCAAAAGTGGTACACACATATTTGCAAAGCCCCTTCCTCTGCTTTTTTTTTTTTTTTTTAATTCCAGGGTGCTGGTCCCAAGAATTTTGTCAGTTAAGTTGAAAGCACCTAACTGTTGCCGAAACAGGAGATGCTGTGCAGCATCGGGCTCAGCGCGCCTTGCTCTTGGGTTTTAGTGCACAGGCTCGCCTTGGTGCGGGGCATGTTTATTTCTCAGGAATGCGTGGCACCTACCGCATTCCAGTGGCTCTGCATGTAACAGCCACACATCTTGATCTGTGCAGAAACTGCCTGGCGCGAAGAAATGGGCTTTTCCGCTTTTCTTCCCGATTCTAGAAGTAACTTTGGGGCCAGAGGAGTTGGAGTCCTCTGCCGGGTGACTGAACATCGCAGCCCTTCAGTATGCTGTGCTACACATTGCCTGGTGACCAGTTTACACGGAATTTCTCAACTAGCCCAGATCACCAAGGATCTTGACTTTGATTCTTTTTAATGAGAATGTGCGTCTCATTGTCATGCTGCTCATGGAAGCCACTGACCCTAGACAGACGACAGGAGGCAGGGTTTCAGTCCTCTTTTCTCCTGCCAGGAAATGGCAGGACTCCAGTTATTAGATTATCTCAAAGACATTGCTTGTGTGACCGGTAATTCAGATTCGCTGGTGAAGTTTTGCTTGCCACACCATAATAAAAGTAAGCATGGAAATATGTGCCATTGTGAGGCGTAAGACCATCGAATTGAACGTGAGGAACATGATCCAGTGTATGCAGTGCTTTTTTTTTTTTTTAGTGTTTAACTTACTTATAAATGGCATGATACATTAAGAAGGTAGTTGCACTTGAAACTTACTTTCTAGTAAAACAATGCAGAAATCTCGTTTTCCAAAACTCCACTAATACCTACATCTTTGAGAGTAAATTACTCGCTGAAAATGCCCAACAAGTTTACCGGGAGGCGAAGTAAGTGAACATACTGTGCCCTCCTGCCCTGGGTGCCCGGAGCGGGCTCGTGGCCCCGTGTGTACCCAGTGCTGTTATGCGGGGTGGAAGGAGGGGGTAGTGCTGTGAGAATGGAGGGCAGCGAGGCACCCAGAGGGTTCACAGGGCACCAAGCTAGTGACAAGTCACAGGCGGTGGTTCCATAAAGGTTGCAGAAAAAGGAGTTTCTCATTGCAGGAGCTGGGCTGGTTCCCACCTCTCTCCCCCCTCCCCCTTCTCAAACACAAATATTTTCATATAATAAAAGCCTGCTTCCCTACGGTTATAACCCAACCTCCGTTCCTCCAACACCACCACCATTTTAAAGGGGGTTTACTGAGCAGGCTCCTCCGAAGTTTCCCAAACTGAGCTCTTTCTCGGTCGTGTGTGGGAGAGGTGAGGAGACCTCCGAGGGCTCCGGTCCGGTGAGGGAGACAAGAAACACCCACTAGGACCCAACCCCGGCAGCCAGCCGCCCGAGCATGCGCTGAGAGTTTGTGCAGCTGGCCCTGGCTGCCGCCACTGCCTCGTCCGGACTTGGCGAGGACTTGGGAGGGAAGGGACAGCGGCGCTGGGAGGTGGCTTAGCCGACACTTTCCAGCAACTGCTGCCCAGGACTTTTTCTTTCTTTCTCGCCCCCCCCCCCCCCAGGAGGCGGCGGTGAGGGGAGAGGAAGAGAAGGAAGCGTCGCAGTGTGAGCCCGTGCAGCCCTTCGGCTGTGCGGGAGGCACGTCTCTGCCCCACGAGTGGCCGCCGTGCGTCGCCGACGGTGCCCCTGCGGGAGTGGGGCGCGGAGCCCTGCGCCCACGGTGAGTGGCCGTGCGCCTCGCGTCCTCCCCGGCCAGCAGCTGGGTGCTCGGCCACTCTAGGGGCTCGCCCGGAGCTTCCCCCGGCGCCCTGCCGGGGGCGCGCACGCGGTGGCCGGGCCGGCTTTGTGCTCCGCGGGCGGCGGGGGAGCGAGAGACTCCAGCACTGCCCCCATCGCGTGCACAGCTGCCCCGGCCCTAACGCCCTGGCGCACCCCCTCCCCCAGCTCACTCCCCTCCGCCCCCGTGCGTTCCCTGGCTAATCCATCATTCTGGGAGCGAAAGCCTCATTTCTCACATTTTCCCAAGGAAATCCTAGTCGGCGGGCGGAATCCCTGCTCGGAGGTGCGCCCTCTCCGGTTCCCCGCCTTGGCGCCCGAGCTGCGGGACCAGGTGCGGACGCGCGAGGTTGGGAGGTGTCGCGGGAACTGTCCTAACCAGGAGGACACGCGCGCCCTCCGGCTCACCAGTGGCGCCTGTAACCCTCCCGGGACAGTTCCAAGCAGAGCTGTCCCCCAGGAGGGGCGTAAGTCCAGGGAAGTTTTAATAAACTTCTCAGCGGAAAGCAGAGGAACTTGCCTAGCGTCCCCCCAGGACGGGACTTTACAAGGCACCTCCATCGATCCGGAGAGCCTGCCTGGCAGGTGTTAGCTGAAGCACGGTTGGAACTTTTGGGAGCTCAGTTACTATTTACAACGCTAGCAAGTGCGTTTTGATGAAATGATGTTTCGGATGAACTAGGTTTTGGGACTGAGGGTGGGGCTGTCTGTGGAGAGCTGGATGTTGACAAGTTCCCTTGTTTTTCGTAAACCTGCAGATAGCTCCTGCTTTGCCCAGGAGCATAGGATGTGGTGAGAGGATGGAGCTTTTCTCTCGCGGGGCTCACCATGGCCAGAGAAGATTCCGTCAAGTGTCTGCGTTGCCTGCTCTATGCCCTCAACCTGCTTTTCTGGGTAAGTCAAATTGTTCTGCTGCACCCCAACCAGCAGGTGGGGACGGCTGGACCCGGTTTCCTGCAGCCAGCAGAGACTGTGCCAAAGGGCATGGCTAAGCATTATTTAATTACATGGAATCACACCCTGAGTTTTTCACAGAAGTAAAACTTGACCTTTCTGAAATGCCTTTGATCTCACTGGAGCCCCGTTTGTAATTAGAAAAAAGAAATCCACCCTGGATCCTAGTAGCAGTAAAATTAGACTTGAAGCTAATCTGGGGATATAAATAAGGACACGTGCTTGTACTCTTTGATAAGAAAGTTATGACATACTCCTTAGGGAACTATTTGCTAGCAGGAGTTTTAGATAACTGGGCAAGCCATAAGTTATTTATTTTTGTCCCCCAAGTCTATGGAATCTTCTTGATGGAGCCCTTGACACATTTATTTATTTATTTGGTGAAAATTTGTACCTAGATATTCTTAGGGTGATTCTAGACAGTCTGAAAGGTGGTTTTTGTGTAACTGTTGCAGAGTTGGCGAAGATTAAGGAATTTTGTATATGCTTTTGGAAAATCTCATAACCATTTAAGGGAATGAAATACATAAAATTTAACAAGCTCATGGAAATCTTTAGGCCCTATGAATTACTGACTTTTTAATGCCTTATGCTCAGGCATAAATTCTCATAAAATGTTGTTAATAATTACGTTATTATTTATAAAACATTGGAAGTGTAAAAATTTAAACTTGTTTCTTTAGGAGGCTGTCATACTTAATTAAGTTTATTTCTTTTTCTTTCTTTCTCTCTTTCTTTCTTTCTTTCTTTCTTTCTTTCCTTCTTTCCTTCTTTCTTTCTTATTTCCAGGATTCTAGATTTTTCTTTCAGAACTTTTAACAGATTTTTTTGTGGGGTGGGGGAGGAGGGTTGCCTGGCTGGCATTGACCACGGTTTTCTTCATGGTAGTATTGCATATGGTCTCCAGAATGTGACATTTTAGCTGGAACTTTGGGGATGGCTTGTTTTAAGGTGAAAAACCTTAATTTAGTAAATCATCTGCAACTTATCTAAGATGATATTACTTTTCTCTCAACATGAAGATGAAAGCATTGAGTACTGTCACCGTGTAGACATGTAAAATGACTACTTGATCTTATGATAGTTGTTAATTTTTAAAAGGTAGAGTTTAAGTGGATCATTAAATTGGCCATAAAGATATTAACATTTTGAACTCTATTTCTTTCAAATACATATTTGTCATTCTTGTTTACTAACTTCTTTCATTTCTACCTTAGGCCTTTTCATTCTAAGATCATCACATTCTACCTCTAAAAGTAACTTTAGAAGTGACCTTGTTGAACTTCCTTTCCTTGCTAGTGTGGAAATAAGTGTGAGTTCAAAGCATTGCCGAAGGTCAGCTAGTCCAGTGGTGGCCATTTCAGAAACACAACTTAGCTTTCTTTCACTTAGTCCGTGCCTTTAACATGGAGCCTTGCTAACACTTGAAACTTGGAATTGTTAAAATATTTTTGCTGTTATTCGGGAAAGAATAAATCTTTGGAAACTTTTCTTTTTTTGTTTTTGAAAATTTCTTATCTGCTTGAAAGGCAGAGGGAGGGAGCGAGCAAGAGCGAGACAGACTCCCTCACCCCCAAACGCTCATGCTCACACATGGAGTTTTTGCTAGGTTAGTTCACTTTGCAGATGCCTGCGACAGCTAGGCCTAGGACAGGGCCCAAGAACTCCATCCAGGTCTTCCACCTGAGTGAAAGGAACCAAGTAAGGGGGCTGTGATGGTGCATCCCAGTCCGGGGTATGTTGGCAAGAGGTTGGATCAGAAGTGGAGGTGGCACTTGATCCCTTGGAGACGCAATGCAAGCATCATGCCCTGCCTCAGGCAGCCTGCCCCTGAAGACTTTCTGAAAGGTGTTATATATCATGGTAGGAAAAGCTCCTAATCATTGAACAGAAATATTGCTTCTCTGAAACATGAAATTGTTTAGAGACTAAACTCCTCCACGGCCCAGGGCTCTTTGTGTCCACAGAGGGTGAAAAATGATATTTCTCTTGAGTTCTGTACTCCCACCTTCTAACTTTGTGTGCTGGTTTTCTTTGGATTGCTTTCTGTTCTCTCCGTATTCCCTCCTCTCCAAAAAGTAACTGGTGACCATCTAGTATGCATCCCGATGTACTTGAAGTTGTTTCTTGCAACATAAATTCACTCCTCCCTTTCTACGTGGATCCATTCCTGCCATGCACATTCATGTTTTTGTTGTTGTAAAATTGTTTTTCACCTGTGTTAGTCATAAAGAGTGTGATTGCTTTGTTCAAAGGTACATGGTTTCATCAGCAAAACAAGCCCCAAATTATATAGTTATATAGCGGACATACTAAATAGCTAACATGGAGTTGTAAGGCACACAAGTAGTATCCCAGTTTCCTTTCTGTGCCATGGGAATACTAATTCCTGTTTTTTGGAGTTGGGAGGATTAGAGCTAACACATATTGAAAGTACTTAGGACAGATACACAAGAGTGCTTGTCTGTGTAGTAGTGGTATTTGTGGTTGTCATTTCTCCACTGGCTGTACTAAGTGAAGTTGGAGTTCAGGAGCTTAACCGCTGAGCCGATGCCTGCCCCCCTCAAGCTTTTTAAATGTAGAATATTACATATCCTTTTGTATTATATATTCTTATTTTCTCTGAAAGTGATTGTGTTTCTCAGTCAAAAGTTTACTTTTCCATGTGGACTTTCAGATTGTTTTACGTAATTTAAAATGCTTATTGGGGTTTTCATTAAGATTCTATGAAACATGTACACTTACTTTTAGAATACTAGCATTGTCCTGTCAACATTAGAGTGGGATTTGTAGATTTTCTACTTCATTATCAACTCAGAAGTGGACTTTTTACTGTGTGCTGGACACACCCCTGGCTCTCCTTATGTTAGTTACCTCTTACCTTCTTGTCTCTAGTTATAACAGCCCCTGCAGCCTAGTTTTCTTTCCTGTTTATTTATCTTCAGCAAAGAACCTGGTCCTCAGATAAAGGGAGTCACTCATGAGTTGGGGGCAGAGCAGGAACGATGGCAGAGTCCAGCTTTGTTTCTTGTTCAAGTGCAGGAGAAGGTATCCTTCTGGAACAGCGGAGGCTAAGCCGAGTAAACATCCTCAGTAGGAAGGGATTAGCTGTCCACCTGCTCATTCCAAGTCCCCTGGAGCAGTGCTGCTCAGACCGCAAGGTCAGAGTGAATTACCTGGGCATCTCCTCAGGGCGAGGCAGGCCTGGCTGCATTTCTAACGGCATTTTCAGGACAGAACGCTGATGCTGCTGCCACGGGCCACGCCCCCACCCCCAGGAGCAAGGTCTGAATCCTGCTTTCGGTCCTCAGGCAAGTTGCAGGCACAGCAAACCAGGGTGCTCTTAGAGTCTCACTTCTCACACCAAACTGCACCTCCTGAGTCTGGAGAGGGAGTTTGTCCTTCAATGTAGTTTGCAAGATTTAGACATTTGCCTTCGTTACTCCTGGGTCCAAAGCTGTAGCCTTTTATTCTTCACTCAGGGTTTTCAGTGAACTTACTTCTGTTTAACTTCTGTTAGGCTGAAATGTTCTCCCCTTCTCAGCCTCCCCAGGAGTTTAGGGAAGAAAACACTAAAACTTCAGTGAGAATTCATACAGTTTTGTTTTGAAGTTTTGGAATTCTAGATTTTCAGGTGTTTTTTTGTTTGTTTGTTTAAATGGAAAAAAATGCAACTTAAGCATTTAAAATTTTTTTGTGTGAAGATGAAGCCTCGATGATCTAAGAGGAAGCAGTTCATAGCACTCTCATGGACACAGACATATTGTCTTCATTGTTAGGGATTCGGTCACCTTCATTTGGCATCTGTTGGGTGTTTCTTCCATGTTAGGAAGACAGCGTGGTCAAAGGACAGTGGTCCTGCAGCTGGTAGACGGGGCCTTTCAGTTTGCCATGAGAGTTGTGGGTGTGCAATACGAAGGTCTGCGTGAGACGTGGTGTAGGTTGGTAAACTTTGCCCAGAGCTCTCTTCCTTTTTAATCACTCATTTATGTGTTTGAGAACACACACACACACACACACACACACACACACACACACACACACACAGAGTGAGCGAGAGACTGCACTTTCGTTCATTGTTTCATAGCCCAGATGTCCACAGTGACTAAGGCTGGGCCAGTGCTGCAGCCGAGCATCAAGTACCTTAAACCAGGTCTTCACGTGGTTGGAGGGAACACTCCTGCCATCACTGCTAACTGACAGGGTCTGCATCAGCAGGAAACTAAAAATCAAGCTGAAACCAGGACTCAGCCCTGCTAGTCCTGACCCAGGAGCCTTAACCGACTGGATAACTTCAGGGTTAAATCCCCACCATTCCCAAGGTTAGGTGCCTTCACCCACTGGTTAATTTCAAGGTGGAATGCTCACCCTTGCCAAGTTTTGAGACCTGGATTTGCAATATGTTCTTGATGGAGTAAGGACGTGTAGACCTTTACTATTTAAAAATAGTGTTATTGTTGAATGAACTACACCCTTCCTTCACTGTAAAGAAGGCTAGATGGAAATTTTCTGCTATTACAAGTATGGATAGAGATGATTCTCTGAGAATTTTTTCAGATTCTGAGCAACTTAGTATTCACAAAATGTGTAATTTTCTAAAAATATATCATGTTTGTTGTATAAAATAGCAGTAAAAGTAGTAGAGTTTTAAATACAGTATTTGTTTTCATTTATTGGAAAGGAAGCCACCTGCACACCCAGAGACAGGGAGACAGAGGTTTTTCCATCCATGGATACATTCCTCAAATTCCTGCCACTGCCACAGCTGGCGAGGCCCAAACCAGCAGCCTGCCGTTCAGTTAGGGTCTTCCTTGTGAATGGCATTGGCCTATGTCCTTGATCTTCACCAGCCACTTCACACAAGGGGCATCAGCAGGAGGCTGGAATCAGAAAGGAAACTTGATTTTAAACCCACACGCAGTCATAAGGGATGCGGGCAT